GAAAAGATCGGGTCAAAACTTTTGCTATCAATCGAATTCCCATCGAAATTGAATGGTGCTCACGTAATGCTGAAAAAAAAAATCGCCAATGCCAAAGAAGAATCTGCTTGAACGGCTCTATGGAATTATGTGGCTGAGAGAGGCCCAAAATAGAGAAGAATGGAGAAGTTGCTAGTTGTGTCACTGGCGAGAAGAAACGCGACGCAATGAAACAGCAGCTGATCAAAGAATCAAAGAAAATATCCATTTGGTTCTCTTTAAAAAAATAATACAACCAAAAACTTCAAAAAAAAAAAAAACAGATTTTTGAGGGTAAAAAAAAACTTTTTCTATTCACTTTCCGCGCAGCAAGAATCACCGATTGCATGCACCTGTCTGGAGGTGATGGTGGTGGAGGTTAGTCAGAAGTGATATTAAGCGTGCTAGAACAGAAATGTCTTCCTCGCTGTTGGTAAATGGAAATACGGGGCGAATTTTGGGATGAGCAGTCGTATTAGTAGTAATAGTAGTAAGTGTGGCAAGACGACTACTGCTGGTATACGAAATCCACACAGATATCTTAATCTACTCAACAACCACAATGACAACTGCAAACATCCCATCAGCCCTCAACCCTCAGCGCTCCCTCATTTACTACCACCTCAATTTTAAGCCCTCCCCCATCCGCTTAGCGTCACTTCATTTTCGAGCTGAACAACTAGTTTTACCGCCCAAATATAATTTTAAAAAGCAATTAGTCATCAATAAAAATAGTGAAATTGAGTGGCTGCTTTACTCAAGATGTGACTAAAGTAATGGAATCCTTAGGATTTGAACGAATGGGAGGGGAGGAGTGCGAGGGAAGGAGGCCGCAGAGGAGGAGAAAGGAAAGAAGAGAGGGATGGAGCTCGGAGGAGAAGGACCTTCAGAATGTTTACATAACGGTTTCTTAGGAAAGTACTCTAAAAATAATACTTTATTATTTCGAAACCAATTTGTTTGGGTGAACAAACAACGGACGCACGTCTATGTACACGCGTACAAAAATACACATGCGCCGATGGTGCACGCACGCATACACATGCATACACCCAAACACACAATCGCACACGGACACACAAGCATGCACGAGCGTAAGTCATAACTTTAATAACTGAAACGGTTACAAATTTAACTGACAGTGGTACTCCGTAAGAGTCACGTTTTTCAAGCTAACTGAAAAAACGTGTTTTTTGAAGAGTAGAACAAATTTTTTGGAGATTACAATGAAACAATATAATAGAAGAAATGTGGACAGAAATAGGTGTTTATATGGTGAACTTATGTGCACTGATAACAAATGTGACCTTTTTTCTGGCTTCTGATAACAAGGACGGAAATGTGTCGCCAAATTTTCGTGCTCAATTGTCCTCTCTAGCAGCTGTCTGCAAATTTTTCCGGATTTTTGCACATTTTCGAATAAATTTAACACTAAAAGTCTTCGCATTCCCTTGGAGAAATTTTACGCTTCTTTGGTTGAATGCTTGTGTATCATGCAAAAGCTTCTCCAGCTATTGCTT